TCACGGCGAGTGCCCGCTGGAAAGGTGAAGGCTCTGTGAGATTGCACGGTCGGACCTCTGTGTGCGTTAAGTTGCGTGCTCGTGTGGGGGAGGATTGTCGCCCACACGTGGAGCTGGAAACGGCTCTAATAACAATGCGACGATGGCCAGGCCGAGGACGCGACATTAAAAAGAAGTCGCATTCCATCGGCTTGGACGTTGCAGGATTTTAGGCCTCACAGGTCACAGGCGGAAATGGCATGTAGAACATGGCCCCTCATCCATGCGTGCGGGAACGCTTAGAACAAACGCGTGCGGTGCGACGGCGGGAGCAACGTTTCGTCAAGGATTCGCCTTCTCTCCGTGTATCTGATGAGTCCTGGTGCGTGGTGAGTGTGCGCGGCGCTAGTGCGAGGTCCGCAGTTTGAAGAGGAACCGCCCTGCACCCGCGCACCCTTGCCGTTGTTAGAAGTTGTGCGCGAGGCGCCATGACGAGAGACATGTTTCGCAGCGGAGCCACGCTCAATTCGTGCAGCCGTTGGAAAACAAGGTTATATGAGGACGAAGGAAGATGATGAGGAGGAGGAGGACCACTGTAAGCCCAAGCCTCACCAAGGATGTTGCAATACACCCTCCCTCCAAGGCCCCCCTCTCACAGGCCCTTGCAATGATTCATTTTCATGGAGGGAAGTGCCCCGTTGGAAGACCGTTTGGAAGTCCTGAACTGCGCCAGGACAGGACATTCTTGGGACTTCAACGCCGCGAATCACCGTCACTGCTGCGTCTTGACGATCCTGAATCAGTGCCAGAAGCACTTTTCCTGGGACCTCAACACCGCGAGTCAACCTTACAGTTGTGCCCTGGCTGGCTGCCCAGCATCGTGCCCAAACACAATTTCTGGGACTGAGAATCCTTTAAACTGCTGTAAACTCTTAAAACGAATGTGCGCGGCGCTAAGGCGAGGGCCACATGTTGAAAAGGGACCGCCTTCCATCTGCGAACTGTTTGAAACATGTCTGAAGCGAGTGTGCGCGGCGCTAGGGCGAGGGCCACATTGTGAAAACCACCCGCTATCCGCCGGTGAAACTCTTGCACACCTTTAAGACGAACGTGCGCGGTGCTAAGGCAAGGCCACATTTTAGAAAGGAACCGCCCTTCACCCGTGAAACGCTTGCAATTCGTTTAAGGCGAATGTGCGCGGCGCTAATGCGAGAGCCACAATTTGAAAGCGGCCCGCCCTCCACCCATGAACCTGTTGCAACTATCAAGCTTCAGGATTACAAATGGTGAAGAATGGTCAGACGAAACGCCTGGCCCGCTCTACTGACACACCTCGGGGTGCGACAAGGAGGAGTTATGATGAATTCATCCCGCAGCTATGTGCGCGCCTGGCTGAGATGGTTGAATACGCTGATCTTCAGGGGCATATGCGGTGTTGTTTCAAACGGAAGAAGAGGAGGAGGAGGGGGAGGAGGAAGAGGAGGAGGAGGAGGAGGAGCTGGATGATGACCACGATGTTGAGAAGCAGAAGCACATACAAGGCAAGAACAGGAGGAGCCAGATGCGCCAGAAAGTGATAATGTGGAGACAGCGGAAAGCAGCAGTAGAGAGAGAGAGAGAGAGAGATAGGGGGAGAGAGAGAGAGAGAGAGAGGGAGATGGATATCTAGCAGAGCGAGGGCGATCGGGACGAACGTGGTCTTCAGATTTTGAGCTGTCGAGCACGAGCACTTTGGTGAGCCTGGCGCGGGAGTATCATTTCAGCCTCGGAGACCCCGCGAATTGACTTAACTTGGCACGCTGGGTGTCCCCATAACATCTCAGAACACACACACACACACACACACACACCCTTATGTTTTTCTCCTCCTCTTCCTCTTCTTGCTCCTCCTCCTCCTCCTCTTCCTCCTCCTCCTCCTCCTCCTCCTGCTCCTCCTCCTCCCCCTCATCCTCCTCCTTCCTTCTCCATGGGCAGGTTCAGAGACGATCCTGGAGGGACGCCAGTTTGTATTCAGTCGGAGATGCCCTGGATTAGTTCCGAGGGAGAGATCGACGGGGCTTGGCATGGAATCATGGCCAGAAGGCATAAGTTTTTGGACGCGGGGTTCAAATGTTAAAAGAATCCAGTTACTCAATTTGGATATTGATTGTTTGTTTGGTGTCGAGTAGATCGGAGTTGCTTCGCCGTACGCTGGTTAAGAGCATGTGAGGCTTGCTCACTGCTGTGCCGGTGGTTCTGTAGAAAAGATGAACGATTGGTGCAAGTGGTGACCCCCTGCGGGATATCCAGACGGTCATAGTAGATCAGAACGATGAGCCGAAGCGCGAGAAGGAGCAGCTGCAGCAGCATGCGCGCCTAGCGCGCCGACTGGAGAGGGCGACATTGGGCGCCCTGCGCTGCGGATGCTGGCGCTTGGGGGCCATCTTTGTATGGGGGGGAGGGCCATGCGGGGAGGGGGCAGGGCAGGGGGGTCACGGGCCCTAGCTCTCCAAGACGATTTGTTGGGGCATTTGTCCGCCAAAAGTCGCGCTTCCACCCCTCACAGATGAAGAACCTCAACGTGAGGAACTCCAAGTTCGGTCAGGCACTGTGGAGGGCGGAGTCCTGGGCAAGGTACGACAGGTGCGTTGAAGGATGAATGTCGTATTGAGGGGTCAGTCCCGGCCGCAATCGTTACTTCACTCCTCCTGTAGTGACAGGGCGTAAAGGGTAAATACTTCCGTACGATTGGCCATTCGTCGGCGGCAGGACCCAGGACTTCCCCGCCATCTACCAACTCCTCCCCGCCCCAGCCGCGACCCCCCGCTTCCAGCCAAGCAGCCGCCAGGAGGTTGGCCTGTGGGGCTCCTCGAAGAGCCCCGGGCCGAAAGGCTCACCTGCTCGCTCCCAGTGCTCGGCGGCGAGCGAGGGGGAGAAAGTGAGAAGGAGAAGGCCTTCTCAGAAGGTTCGGAAGGCCCCCGGCCTTCTGAGAAGTTTTCCAAGCCTTCCTTGAAGACAGGAAAAGACTTCTCAGAAGGCGCGAGGGCTTCTGAGAAGCCCCGCCGCCTTCTGAGAAGACCTTCTCCTTCTCATTTCCCCCCTCGCTCGCCGCCGAAGTGCTCGCCGCGTCGTGGGTGGCCTACTGTGCTCGCCAGGCTGGTTCGAGCGCGGCCCCGGGCCTGCCCGCGCGGACTCGACTACGGCCATGGTGGAGGCCTCGCCCGCGGTTTCGCCGGGGCGCGTCTGACGCGGCGGCCCCGCCCGGGTCACTTCGACTGCCACACTTTCCATTCATCGCAGCGGTTTGGCACCAAGCCGCGGTCGAGGCGACCCCGAGGGGCACTGCCGGGCCGAAATGGGCACGACAGGCCTGGGAGAGGCGCGAAGGAGGGAGAGGAAGCCGCGGGCGGCGGAGCACGCTCAGACTCGACTGCCACACACACGCCCGACGCGCCCACGGCCGAGCGCTCGTACACCTCGCGAGCACGTGCCCATGACCCCGCGGCCGGCAGCCAGGCCTCCGAGGTTCCGAACAGTTTCTCGGGGGAGGCGGTGGCTCGCTGCCCCCCCCCCAGCAAGCTTTCAACCGAAGGGCCGTGCTGTGTTGTGTCTGCCTTGCGGGATCCCGCTCCTTTTGCCTTTCCCGCATCCTCCGCCGCTTCTATGCCTCAATTAGTTCCTAGCGTGTCCCGCCCAGAGCGGCGCCTGCACCAGCTTCGACTCGCCTGCGCCAGCTGACCCAAAGAAGTATTTTCCTTCTGGGTGTTGACTGCAGTTCTCCCAGGCCGAGTTGCGTCGCCAGCGTGCAGTCCACCTCGAGGTCCCCGAGGACCGTTCTGGGCAAAGTGCGGGGGCAACTGGAGATCATGGAGGCCTCCCTGGAAAACCTGAGGTCACCTCGGGCCAGGGGCACTTCTGGCAACGCTCGTCTTTGCGCCGAATGTCAGCCTGTGAGTCATAAATGATGTCCCCCCTCACGGGCTGATGAATGGACCATAACTTCCGCGGGACGCGCAACATGTTTTTAATCACGCGCACCAGAGCGGCGTCGCGGGCGCCGCCGAGGGGATCGTGTAGCCCCCTGCATGGCAGCCTCAGAACGATTGCCTGTCGTGTAAAACTTGTCATAGGGCCCCGATGCATTCGAGGCGAAGTCCCCCCCCCTCCCAGGTTGATTACTGACGTGCCACACTCGTCGTCGCCCTCGCCCTCGCCCTCGCCCTCGCCCTCGCCCTCGCCCTCGTTTGCGCCGTCGCCGTCGCTGTCGCCGTCGTCGTCGTCGCCGTCGTCGTCGTCGTCGTCGCCGTCGTCGTCGTCGTCGTCGTCATCGTCGTCGTCGTAGATTGCAGCGGGAACCGCAGCACAGCACCCCCCCTTTCTGGGGCATCCGCAATGCGTCGCCGTCCGTCGTCGTCGTCGTCGTCGTCGTCGTCGTCGTCGTCGTCGTCGTCGTCGTCGTCGTCGTCGTCGTCGTCGTCGTCGTCGTCGTCGTCGTCGTCGTCGTCGACCGCGGGCCTACGCAGCACCCGCTTCCCCGCCCCCGGTGGGGCATCAGCAGTGCGGCGTCGTCGTCGTCGTCGTCGACGACAGCGGGCCTAGTCGTGGTCGTCGTGGTCGTCGTCGTCGTCGTCGTCATCGTCGTCGACGACCACAGCGGGCATACGCAGCACTCCCGCTCCCCCCATGGAGTATCCGCAGTGAGTTGTTCCGCCGTCGCCGCCGCCGTCGTCGTAGAACACACTGTAGTGGAGAAGGGGTGGGGGGATGGGGGGAAAAGGAAAAGGAGGAACCGTTTTCGCCTCCCTTTGCCATTCCTCCCCCCTCATCCTTTTCTTGTTTGTATCCATGTCGGCACCGCCAGCCAGCTGAGGCGCCTCTTCCCTCGCCTCTTTCTCTCCTGTCTGTAACCAGGTTGGCCCAACCGCTGCTATAGTGGAGGCGTTGCTGTCCCCCTCTGGTGAAGCGAGCGGCGCCGTTTGCGTCACGCCTGTCGCCCTCCAGCTGTCGGCTGGGTGTCGGCGTGAATCACTGGCGCCGCCGCCGTGCGTTTCCATTTGGCGGGCGCCCCCCCCCCCCCCCCCCCGATTTGTGCGCGCAAGGGGACAATTTTTTTGATCACGCGCCCCGCTCCCTTCTGTTACTTACGGCACTCTGGGTTTCTTAATAAGCGATGGGGGGGTACCCCCCCGACGGGGGTCAACATGGGTCAACCTCGAGTCGTCGTCGCGCTGCGACGGGGGTCGGCGCGCGGTGGCTGGGGGGTCGATGTGGGGCTGTCGGCGGGGGTGACGCCCCCCCGACGCTTATTAAGAAACTAGGAATAGGCTTGGGTCGTGTCGATTGGCAGCGGCCCCGCCGCCCGCGTTCAACTCGGAACGCCGCCGGCGAACCAGAGTCGGGCGATGTTGAACGATCTGACGTTTCCGAAAAAGGCCGATCGTTCAAAGTTGAACGACCCCCGCAATGTGAAAAGCCATCGCCAGGGTCGCCACGACGCGAACCTGCTGTACGTAATGTGCTCCGGTCGAGCACAGCCATCAGAAACCAATGTTGTCAGATGGTGGGAGGATTTGCTACGAAGCTTGAATGGAGAGAGGCCTGAAGCAGTAGGCCCACCGTCGGCCCAGCTCAAAATTCACAGCGGAGGCGTTTCCTGTGGACTGCTTGCGTTTCCCTGAGTTGGGACACGCAGGGGCAACAGCGGACCGCGCCTCTCTGGCCAATGGTCTTGGTGGTGGGGGGGCAAAGAGCATTTATGCTGCACTCAGCGCGCCCCAGTTTCAACACCAGCACCATCCATTCCTCTTCATGCCCGTCGTTTCCACGTCGCGGCCGCGGGTTTCGTTGCCTCTTCGCCCCCCTTTGATAATTGTTGTCTACGCTACTGCATTATCTCCCTTATCTTTCCGCCCCCACTGTTCCACCATACCCTCTCCCGTTTTTCCCGCGTTCCCCCCACCACCACCACCACCACCACCACACATCCCCCCGTCCTTTTTACCCTGCACCTATTTCTCCTTGCGCTTCGCTCCCACCTGCCTTCCCTGGCTTTCTTACCTCCCCATGCATTGTTCTTCCTTCGTTTGCTCCCCCTGTCGTCCAGTCTTCGTTTTCCTCTCACTCCTTCCCCCCACTATGAAGGCATCATGCGGGGTTATACCCGTCATTCCTCTGTCCATCAATCCTCGACTTCCCCCATCGTTGACCCAATTGTTTGGGTCTACTCGTAAGTGTCCGGAGAATAATTTATCATATTTTCGCTTTGGGGCGGTGATAAAACGGTTTTCAAGTTCGTGACCTGCAGTACTAAGCATTGCTCCCCGCCCCCATCTGTCCCTTTTCGTCGCCCCCCCCCCGTGCACTTCCGCTTGCGCTTCCTCTATTTTTTCCCATCCTCCCGCTCTCGTCCCCCCTGCTGCCGCTCCTCTCCCTTCACTCCCAGCAGCAGCAGTCGCGGTGGCGATGGAGGCGGCGGCGTCGCCAACATCGACGGCGGCGGCGGCGAGATGGCGGCGGCCGCGGAGCGGCAGAGGCACTGGTCATCGAGACCACGGCCTCCAGCGGTCCCGCTGCCTCGGCCCCGTCTGCTCTTGGTGCCAGGAGTTATGACGTTCCAGTCTACTTTGGCCTTGGTCACCAGAAAGAATCTCCAACATCAATAAAGTACCGAAGCTGAAGGGTTTTCGCGTGTCGGGCCCTGGGAGGCGATAATTGTTCGACATTGTTTCGATACTTTTCTGGGTACTCGAAATTGTTTCTGGGATGTGGTCCTCAAGTACGATGGGAACCAGATAAGCCAGGAGCTGCGTTGAGCGCTGATGTGGCAAGGGCGTATGCGGAATCATGGGCGACAGTCGTCACAAGGGTCATCATGGTGATGGCGGTGATGGCGATGGAGGCCGCCTGGAGGCGGCGACGCCGACCGTGACGCCAACGCAGGCGATACTCATTGTGGTGGTTTTGGTGACGACGATGGTGACTCAAGTAAACTGGGGGACAACGCTGCTGAGATTGATGGTATTGCGGATGACGCTGACGGTGCTTACGATGATTATGACGACGAGAATAGATGACACGATGAACATGGTGGTGATGGCGATGGCGATGGCGATGGCGATGATGATGATGATGATGATGATGATGATGATGATGATGATGATGATGATGATGATGATGATGATGATGATGATGATGATGATGATGATGGCAAGCGCGATGATCACGACCATCATAATGTCTAGAATCCCTGCGGCCACTGCCTTCTGACGCTTGTTTAAGTCTGGCATGGGTATCGGCCCTGCTGCATTCACCTGCACCCTGCCCCACCCTATCACCAGCGTGCGCCTGCTAGTGCGATTGTGGGCCCAATCGCGGCTGCCAGGGCGTCAGCAGCGTGGTATTGTTGTTGCTCTTCGGCAGGTTCGCCATCGCGGTCGGAGAACCGTGCCGCGGGCACTTGGCAGCCACCCGCGCGCAGATGAACGCGTCCCCAGTGCTGGCACTCGTTGAGGTGGCGCCAAGGTTGCAACGCGGCTCCCTGCCAGCGCGGGCGCGCAGGCAGCACGAGGAGGTCCAGTGGTGGACCTGGCACTCTGGATTGGTCGAGTCTGGTGTTTCTTCGGTGAGCACAAGGGCCTCTGGCACGAGAGGTTGGTGCTGCGCGCAACCGTGGAGGCCTCCGTGGTGGCCACCCCTGGCGGGGACGGTTACGATCAGCCGCTTCAGCACTACTTGCGCCGATGCGTTCGCCGGAGGCGCCTACCAGGGGAATCCCAATCTGCATTTTCAGGAACACAAGGTACGGCTCCCAGGCGGATGACATCGCCTCGAACAGTCACCTTCCACCGCAGAGTGCAGTTTCGATTGGCTGGCTGCGCGTGCGCCGCCGAAGCTGCCGCGTGAGGTGACCGCTGTGGGCAGTCTGCACGGGATGCTTTGCTTCACTTGCCCATGTCGGTCTGGTGTTCTATGACGTTGTGGGCGTGGCCGCACCGCATTGCCTGGCCAGCTCGATGCAGTTCCTCTTGGAGTCCTTGTGGGACACGCGCTCGGGCGAGAGTATGGATACAGGGCATTCCCCAACCAGCGCTTGCACACCTATGAGTTCATGCTTACTCTCTCAAGCAACCAGTCAGGATTTCCGGGTTGTCGGCTGGTGCACGGCCGTGTGGGCGCCCAGTGCATTGCTTGGATTTCCGTGGTTTGGGCGTGTGCCCGACCGTTGGCGCTTCGTGGGTGCCTCGTGCTGGGTAGTTTGCACCAGCATAGCTTGAACCTAGCAGCCTGCACCACACCGCTTGAACCATACAGCTTGCTCCACATAGCTTGCACCACATAGCTTGCACCACACATCTCCCACTACACAGTCTGAACCACCCAGCTTCCACCGCGTAGCTCCCACCACACAGCAGGCACATCCAGAGTGCCACACGTCACTGTTTGGGCTCCGCGCTTGCCAACCTTTTGCTTGCCAACATGACCTGTGGCACGATTCGGGAGCGCTGAGCGCCGCCCTGTCTCGGGATTAAAGACGGGGTGTTGAACCACATAGATCTGAGATATCTTTCTTCGTGCAGGACATGATCAAGTTCGCGACTGCCCAAGGGTAGTTACTCGAGGATGCCCTTAGCATTCGGCGCTGGGGGCCAGAAGGACTACGTCCAGCCTAATTGGTATCGAGCTCCGACAAGACCGTGAGGATGGAACAACTGAGGAGAAATAGTTGGCGGATGCATGTAATAGTGGGGAGGAGGATGGCGACGACGAGAATTGAGGACTTGGAGTACGAAGGTCACTTGAAGGAACACTTTCCTGACAATCGTACTCATATAGTACCATAGATGTATACGCAAACACATACAAACCTACAGACACACATACTAGATGATATAGAGTGCAAAGACGAACGCTCAGGCATTGTACGTACGTGCGTACGCATGTATGCATGCATGCATGCATGTATGTATGAATATCTATATGTGTGCGTAAGCATGCATGTATGTATGTGTGTATGTATGTATGTATGTATGTATGAATGAATGAATGAATGTGTGTATGCATGTATCTATGTGTTTATGCATGTATGTATGTATGTATGTATGTATGTATGTATGTATGTATATGCGTATGTATGTATGTATATGTATGTATGTATATGTATGTATGTATATGTATGTATGTATGTATGTATGTATGTATGTATGTATGTATGTATGTATGTATGTGTGTATGTATGTATGTATGTATGTATGTATGTATGTATGTATGTATGTATGTATGTATGTATGTATGTATGCATGTATGTATGTATGTATGTATGTATGTATGTATGTATGTATGTATGTATGTATGTATGTATGTATGTATATGTGTGTGTGTGCATGCATGCATGCATGCAGGTAGGTAGGTAGGTAGGTAGGTAGGTAGGTAGGTAGGTAGGTATGCATGTATGTATAAGAATTTGTACTCGTTCTCCTTGCCCTCCTCCCTCAGTTCCTGCTCCTCCCCTCGGTGGCTACATTCTCGGCTTCCGAGCGGACCCGGTGGAGCGACTCGAGCAGGTGTATACCCAGGTGTCCAATCTGTGGAGGGGACAGGGGCCGTCCGGCGCAGCTACTTACAGCCAAAGGAAGATTAGGAACGAAAGCAGGAGGATGTGAGGGTCCAGAATGGCAGGATGATGATGATACCGAGGAGGAGGAGGAGGAGGAGGAGGAGGAGGAGGAGGAGATGGAGATGGGACCAGACTAGCAATCCTCGAAAGCTCCTTTGGGGGGATGCCGGGGAGTAAAGCTGTTAAGAGCAATGAGGAGGATGGAAGGCAGGGAAGAGGAGCATGAAGAGGAGGGAAGACGACAAAGAAAGTGGAGGAGGGAGGAGAAATTGCGCGGGTGATGCAGACACGCGGGGGAAGTTATACGTACTTACGCTTTTTCCGATCCCCACCAGTCCACCCATACCACATTCTTAGGCGAGCTGTTTTGAGGAGGGCAGTGGATCAGCAACCGCGAAGCACGGTGGGGAGCATCAGCCAAACCCAATGAGGAAACAACCCCAGCAGGCTTTCGAGCTAGCGCAGTTACGCCCATAATGCCGCAACTTGCTTTACCGCACTCGTCTTCTGCATGGACGTGGTTTGCTGAGCCTAGGGCCAGCTTAGTTCAGCCTGTCTTAACGCAGCGTTAGGTTTGCGAGAGTGTAGGTTGGCGTGGTTTGTCTCGGCGTAACTTCGTTTAGTCAAGCTGCGCTGGGTTTGTCTTAGCATTTCTCCTGGTTTGGCGTGGCGTGGCCTAGCTTGAAGTCGCTCAGCTTGTATGAATGTGGCTTTATTCCGCTGGATGTCGCCCAGCTTAGCTCAGCCGGGTTTCTTGCATCCTAGCCTCGAGCATCTTGGCATGATTGTTTCTTAGCTTGGTTTTGGCGAGAGCAGCGTAGTTATGCTTGGCTGAAGTGCTCTGGGGTAATATCAGCGCGGACTAGGTTTGGCTCCCTCTCTGCTCCTTTTCCTTCCCCTTCGAATCATAAGTTGACGTGAGGCGCTATTGGAGCCTGCCGGATGCAACTGGTATAGAAACGAATGGCAATGGGCTCGCCTGGAGCGCTCTTGTAGCCGTTGCGGCCTCTCGTGCGGCCCTCTTGTGCCATTCCAGAGCTATCGGGTGCCAGCTGGAAGCCGAACAGGCGGAAGTCGTTACACGCTCCAGGTATTTCGATGATGTTGGCCTCGGGGGCTTTTTGGGGGAAGCTCGCGCTGGAGGCCGTTGGGGGCCAACTGTGGCCATCTTGCGTAGCACCGCAGATCAGTTTGAGCTGCATAGGGCTGCCTTTGAGCCAACTTGGGCCATCTTGGACACTTCACCCACTCGCGGCCCCCTGGGCCTAGACTCGCGGGAGGGGGTAGACGAGCGGTAAACATTTCTTCGAAGGGAAGCGGATCTTGCCACAGGGGGGTCCAACCGTTCGGGCAAGCCCAATTGGAAAGGATGAACAAGCGGAGGAGGAGGTGGAGGAGGAGGAGGAGGAGGAGAAGCAGGAGGAGAAGGAGGAGGAGGAGGAGGACGAGGAAGTGGGGGAGCAGGAATCTGAAAAGTATGGAAAGGAGAAGGATGCCCCGAAGAAACATACATAGCAGCAATCACGACAGGGACTAGTGGATGTCTGACCAAGTGTGCCTCGCCATCCCAGCGGGCAGTTGCAGCTTACATCAATCATCACAATGCAGTTTCCCGGAGCAAGCCCAACGGGATGGTTGCACAGCGCTTTGTGGATATCAAGTTCGCCTAGAGCTAATGTCGAGCCGTTGATGCCCCAGGCTACGCCCATGTGCAACACACTACGTATGTGCATGTGGGTGACTACTTGTCTGGATTGTCAACGCTGAGAGGAAAGTGCTACAGTGTCGGGCTCAACTACAGAGAGGAGGAGCTGGGTAAGGGAGGAAGATTTTCAGCGTGACCCCGATATTCGGCGTCGAGGCCCCTTGTGCTTGCAAGTGCTGCTGGCCACGCCATGCAAGTTAGCAACTTCTCGTTGTCCGGCACGCGATGTCTTATGATTGCTTGTGACACTTATTAATGCCATTCTGGCCCCTCATCGTCCTCGCCCTCCTCATCCTCTTCTCCCAACCGCGGCAACGAGATGCCCCGCAAGGCTGCGTGAACGGTGAGGCCTTGCAAGCGTGCACAGATGGACGAAGCAGCCGCAGCAAGAGACTATAGTGGCAGAAGGCATAAACTCTTGCAACATTGTCAACCGCGGCTGTGCAGGCTTGATTTAGGGGAGCGAGCAATGACATAAGCATAAAAACTCTGAGGTCCGCGCGGATTTCTCGGATCCGCGCTGGACCCCCCTCCCTGGCGCGCGGAGCGCTCCAGGGGCGGCGCTGGAGGCGCCGCCAGGGGGGTCCAGCGCGGATCCGAGAAGCCCGCGTTACCCCATAGTGGCAGAAGACGTAGTGACTAAACGCTCGCAACATTGACAGCCCAGCCCCCGCGGCTGTGCAGGCTTGATTGCAACTCCCATGATGTAGGTGCCCTGCTCAATTTGCGCTCGGCGGGTTCCGAGGGAGCTCCGCATGCGCACGGGAGCAGCCACCCTCGCGTCACACAGAGGCGACCGCACGAGGGCATGCTGGAAACTGGGGGGGGGGATGCGACTATGGTTAGGGGAACGAACAATGACTTAAACATAAAAACTCGGAGATCCGCGCGGACCTCCGAGTTATCATGTTTATGTCCTTTTTCGTTCCCCCAATGCTGCACCACGGCCGCACCTCGGGCCGCAACAGGTTCAACGAACGTGGTGCCAATCAGAGCAAAGCCCGCCACTGCGGGCGCAGCCTACGCGGCAAATCGTGCACGCCCTGCCCATGACCAAAAAGCGCACCGCACCGCCCAGAGGAGCAACGCCGCAAGGCCGTGGAGCGTTGGAGTATCATTTACCCGCGTCAGAGCCCATACAGTCAACCCGCATAGTACGGATGAGCGACTTTCCAAGGTCACCCCTGCATCCTTCCCCTCCGGCCCATCCTTGGCCCCTGTCGCTGGCCGCGCCCCGCTCGCAGAGTGTCGACATGGCCTTCCAAGGCCCTTGCGTCCTTACCAAGCGTCCTGACAGTGGAGACCCATGCCAAGAAACACCCTGCTTGCCTCCAGGGTGCCCTGGGTTTCTTGGGTCTCGATGGTTTTGCTATGGAAGGCGTGACGCTCCCACACCAGCAATCAGTGGACATCCTGGGGTCTCAGGGTTGGGCTTCTTGTGGAAGGTTTCTTGTCGTCGAGGCCCTACTGTAATTATACGGGTTGACTGAGCACACGCGCTGCGATGCCAGCGCCGCTCCTCGGGCCTGGCCGTCTCTTCGGTGCGCCGACGCACGGACCCGTGGGCTGCAGCCAGCTGGCAGACGCCGCTGTCGAGAGGGGCGGCCGGAGACCCCGGCCCGCGGCCGCACTTCTGCGCGGCTTGCCCTTCGGCCGCGCACCGTCAGGGTCCAGGGGTGCCCCTGAGGGCGCGGAGCTATTCACGCTTCGCGCGTCGGCTCCGATACCTCGTCATCCCGTTCTCCTATTGGGGGGCGGCGCGGGAGCGCGACGTTGTCCGCGCTTCGCGCTGGTGCGAAGCGCGAAGTTGGGCGCCCTTGAGGCCGTCGTGGGGACGGTGAAGCCGGCGAAAGCTGCCGCCCGCGAGAACTTTTGCGGGAGAGCCGCGACAGTGTCGCCTTGGTTGGCGAGGCTTGCGAAGCAGCTCGGGGTGCAGCGCTCCACTCGTCTCGGAAGCAGTTCTGGCATGTATTGCTTTTCGTCCGAACTTTTCTGCTTGAGCTGAGTCCCAGTCCTGGGGGCCGCAGCCAGTGGCCGTGAGGGCGTGAGGGGCGAATCGCTCTGAAGTTTTCCGACCGCCGCTGCCATGCGGCCCTGCTGGTAGCCAGCCCCAGCCGCCGCGGCAAGCGGCTCGTGGGTTGTACTCACCCGCGGTACCCATCACAGCAGCGAGTGGCAGTGGCAGTTTCGCGCTCTTTTGCGCACACCAGCATCAAACCTGTGATGGGCTGAGCAAGGCACGAGGTCTTCACATTGGTGGTCTCGCGGTCGTTCGTGTGCATGGGGTCCTTCACCATGCACTACTTCGTTTTGCAGCGTGCGCCGCAGCAGGGCATTTCATCCCTTGTCGGGTGACCAGAGGCGTCCTGCACAATCTTCGGCAGGCGCGTCCACCAATCAGATGTAGAGATTGTGCATATGAATCCGTGCTTATCGGCGCCGCATCCGTAGTAATGCTTGAAGGCTTCGCCGTCCTTGTTCTGAGGTAAAGTTGTTCAGATGCCCATGGTAGTGAATGTAGATGCACACATCTACGCAACATTATGAACACTAGAAGGCGGCACAGGCAAGGTGCCCTGACCCGTGCATACTAGCGGCATGGGAAGGAGCGCGTTGATTATCACCATATGTTCGAGTAGCCAGCCCTGGCTCTTTTGATGCGTCGTTCCCTTCCTTGGCCACCAGGTGATTGATTGTCTGACTCTGCGAACAGCGTCCAAACCGCTTTTTCTCTCCGATCGTGACTGTCATTGTTGATTATATCTCCTCAGCCTCTTCATCCGCGCCCGCGTCCTGTTCTTGGTCCCAATGATGTTCCTAATCCTTTCGAGCATCGCTGAGCGATTTGCCCCACTCACTCACTACTCGCACTGCTGATGTTTCCTAATATGTACCCTCTTCAGTGTCCTCCTTCCCCCCCTCAGAGCGCGGGTGGATCGGCTGGCGTAGGTTCGGGGAGATATCGTCCAGCGGCCAATCCTGGCTTCCCGCTTCTTCTCCATTTCCTGTGTTTCATCGTTTTTCCCTTCTCGAGTTCCTTTTCCCCTGGACCCCTCTTCCCTGGACCCGTCTTCCCTGCCCCTTTCCTCGCCAACATGTCTCTCATTCGCCTCCATCCTGATGCCCTGGTAAGTACAATAAGCTCCTCTCATAAAGAGCACTGCCTAAAGCTGCCCAGCCGAGCTGATCGGGGCTAATCGTTGGCATGGGAAGAGGGGACGGAGGGAGCGAGTGAGAAGAGAGGAATGGAGAGAGGGATGCCCGAGGGAGGCGGGATCAAGGATCACCCGCATGCGCTACGTATTCTGCGGCGCCGCGCGAGCCCAGCAGCAGTACACAGGTCACGTTCTGCGTGGACTGCGCCTCACATGCCGAAAGGGGCCACTGCACAATCGTAGTGCCAGTGTCGAGCTGCGGAGTGGGAGCAGATCGCGGGAGACGGTGTACGTTGGCATTGGCGTTGCGGAATGTCTCAGAGCGCCGCGGATCTTAGCAAGCACGTGCGGATTCAAGACTCGTGCGCCCATTCGGGTCACCGGCGTTGATGGGCCTATTTTCCACCACCACTACCATATGTAGGAGAGGGAGGAGGAGGAGGAGGAGGAGGAGGAGGAGAGGGAGGAGGAGGAGGAGGAGGAGGAGGAGGAGGGAGGAGGAGGAGGAGGAGGAGGAGGAGGAGGAGGAGGAGGAGGAGGACCTCCTCATCCTCCCGTCTCCCCGTCCTACCTATGGTAGTGGTGGTGGAAAATTTGCCCATCAGGCGTGTATCACGCATCAGAGTGAGCTCCCTGTTGCAGGCCGTCTCAGACGACAAGCCGGGGGACGAGAAGGAGGCGTTCGCTCCTCGGACAGAGGATCCCCGCGCATGGTGAGTTGAGATTTGATTGCTTTGTCTGCGGCAAGAAGCGGGGAGGGACATCTTGAGGACTCGGAGGAAGATGAGCAGGAGGAGGGATTGGAGGAGAGGAAGGAGGATGAGGAAGTAGAGGAGTAGGGAATGAGGAGGAGCAGGAGGCTGGGAGAACGAGTGTGGCGCAGGACGAGTGCGCCAGAGGAGGGGGAGGATGATGAAGTTGAGTTGGAGGTGGAGGAGAAGGAGGGGGAGGAGGAGGGACGAGAAAAGGAACGATCCGGGGGCCAAACGAATACTCATGCGTAGTCGGTCGTCCTTCCCCCTCCTCCGCTGCGCTCCCTCCATGTATGGAAGCCCGTCTTCCGCGCGCTTAGGCCTCGCACATCCGCACAATAGCCCTCCGAAGACGACGAGCGCCTCGGTAGCTCTCGGTGCCATTCTGAACTCCCTGCCGACAATCGGCGATTCACTTTGGTCGTGCGGTTCCCTTTGGTCGTGCCCTCCATCTGTCTGCCTCCTTCTGCATGTCCTCGAGGTGACAGAAGGGGCCGATGGCTCAAAGATCGGCTCGATTTCTTACCGGCTCGGATGGGGCAGGCATTCAGAGCGGAAAGTGGATGCGAAGGCGCAGCCCAGATGTCGCCACATACGCTGGGGCAGTCACGGTGTAGCCCCTTTTCCAGGGGTGGAGTCCCAAACCCTCCGCCATTCGGAGTCCACGCTCTCCCTGAACGAGCATTGACGCAGCGGTCACAATGCAGGCGAGACATGGTGGCGTTGGGCAAAGATGCACAATCCATACCACTTTGGCTCGAGGCACCTGGACCCAGACCCAGCAATGCCGATGTGCAAACAAATGCCGTCAAACTCAGACAGACCCGTGAATCGCCCAATGTTGCTTCATTTGGCACTCGGATGCCCCAAGCCGCCTCACAGCTCGGCGCTCTCGCCGATTGACCCTGATCATGCTTGCTGCTACGCTTCGCGGCGTAGCCCCAGTTCGGAGCATCCGTTAGGTTGCAAGCACACATCTGCAATGCGATACCACTATGCTGACAACAGTCTAATGCGAAGCATCGTGTGGCAAATAGGATGTCCGCACAGCGTCATTGCCCGTTCTCCCACGACGCTTTTCGTTGCAGCTGCTCCCCTTCAGCGCATTGATTCGGGCGTTGCCCCTACTTTGATTGCCCATGAGGCATTGTTGTGGACGCTTGCTGCTTGGAGAGATTTTCATACCGTAAAAACACTCAGCACATCATGGTACAGCGCTGCGCTGGACTGATTCGTTAGCATCGGATAGCTCAGCTGAGCATGGAGAAGCACACGTGGCATCGTAAAGCATGGGGTACCATCGCATAGATAGCACCGTGCATCTTGGAATGGCACTGCGTAGGTTGCGTACCATAGCACGGCACCGCAGAACGAAGCCAGGGGGGAGGGATAATGAAAGGATATTGCCAGGATCTTCGATTTGGTCAAACTCCCCATTCCCGCCGCCCGGATCGCTATTGAGTGTGCGCGCGAGCCCCCCCCCCTACCTCCCCCCCCTGTTGAGGACATATACGTAGCACCCCGCAATTGCGGATAAGAGTGAGGGGGCGGGCGCGGGCGACGCGGGCGTCGTCGAGCCGGCAGATCTCGTGGCCCCCACCTTCCTTGTCGATGGCGCTCTCCTCCACCTCCTCCTCCTCCTCCTCTTCCTCCTCCTTCTCCTCCTCCTCTTCCTCGTCCTCATCGTCATCGTCATCCTCCTCCTCCACCTCGTCCTCCTCCTCCTCCTCCTCTTCTTCCTCGTCCTCCCTCTCCCCCCCTCGTCTTTTCATCATGGTCCTCCCATTGTCGTCCTCCCCCTCATCGGCCTCCATCATCGTCCTCCCATTGTCGTCCATCATCATCATCCTCCCCATCCTCCCCCTCCTCGTCCTCCTCCTCCCCCTCCTCCCCCTCCTCCCCCTCGTCCTCCTGCTCCTCCTCCTTTTCTTTTTTCCACGTTCTCCTTACATCCTCTCTTCTTCCACGTTCTCCTCGTCCCCTGTTTACTCATCCTGCCTCCCCCTCCTTTCCCAAGATAACTGCAACGCAATCTTTTTTCCCACTTTATGCTCCCCGCCTTCTCTGATCAAGGCAACTCGCCAGGGCAAAGTTGCTGGACGGGCTGGGGTAGATGTGCGGGGCGTGACGAGGTCCTTGCGGGCTCAGACGGCATGCAAGAATTCGCCGCCGCGCTTGTGCGGCATTGGTTTGTTCCGTGAACGTGGTTTAGGTCGCGGGTGGGTCGCGGGCTCTCCACCTCCACCTGGAAGGAATGCAAAAGCAGCCCGCCGCAAGCGCCAAAAAAATTGGTTCGTACACGGAACGAGGTTTGGGTCGCGGGTGGGCCGCGGGTTCTCCACAGGGAACGAATGCAAAGGATGCCCGCCGCAGGCGCCGAAAATGTGGTTTGTACCCTGAACGTGGTCGCGGGTGGGCCGCGGGCTCTCCACCTGAAACGAATGCAAAATATGCCCGCCGCAGGCGCCGAAAAATGTGGTTTGTACCCTGAACGTGGTTTGGGTCGCGGGTTGGTCGCGAGTTGGTCACGGGATGTGTCGCGGGCTCTCCACTTGGAAGGAATGCAAAAAAGCCCGCCGCAGGCGCCGAAAATTGTGGTTTGTACCTTGAACGTGGTTTGGGTCGAAGGTGGGTCGCGGGTGGGTCGCGGGGTAGGTCGCGGGTGGGTCGCGGGTGGGTCGCGGGTGGGTCGCGGGTGGGTCGCGGGTGGGTCGCGGGGTGGGCCGCGGGGGGGTCGCGGGGTGGGTCGCGGGTCGCGGGGTGGGTCGCGGGGTGGGTCGCGGGGTGGGTCGCGGGGTGGGTCGCGGGTGGGTCGCGGGTGGGTCGCGGGGTGGGTCGCGGGGTGGGTCGCGGGTGGGTCGCGGGGCGGGTTGCGGGTGGGACGACGACAACAAACAACAACAACAACAAACAACAACAACAACAAACAACAACAACAAGAATCCGCACCGCGGAATTCCACATCAGCCACGCACCCAGGGACAGTGAATGACCGTTCGGCCCCCTCACTCTGATATATATATATATATATAATATGTATATCTACATATATCTATATATATCTATATATAGAAAGAACCACAGCCTTCGGCCCATCCCGCCACCGTGCCTGGGTTGTGGGTATGAAGCCTATGGGATGCTCGTTGGGATCGCGCTGGAGGCCTCTCGGGGGCCTCTTGGAAGCAGTTCGGAGACCTCTTGGGCGGCGTTTCGGGGGGCCGCTTGGGATGTGTTTGGGGGCCTCTTGGGGCCTCTTGGGGCCTCTTGGGGGCCTCTTGGAGGCGTCTTGCGGCCTCCTGGGCGCTTCTTGGGGCCTCCTGGGAGCTTCTGGGGGTGGAAGGCTCGGATTTTCGGTTCGTGAAGCCGAATCGGCGAAAATGCAAAACATTCAGAATAACCTGAGGGCAATCAATGCGTTTGGCCTCTTGAGGCGTCTTGGAGGCCTCTTGGGCTGTCCGGGGGCCATCTTGAGCGGTTTGGAACGATCGTTCGGCGAGTCTTGGGGGGTCTCTTGGAGCCCTCTTGGGCCTCAAAAAGTCACGCGAGAAGGTGCGGGGGAGCCAGGGGGCACGCGGGAAGATGCGGGAAGCCCCTGTAGATTTCGGAATTTGGATTCTGGGACCTTGAAAAACTCGTCAGGACTGAGGATTGAGGCTCCAAGCACTAGGCAAGGGACTTGAGGACACGCCCACTCCGTGCCCAGAGTCACGGTGACGGTATGTCTGCGTGTCTGTCTGTCTGTTTGTCTGTTTGTTTGCTTGCCTGCCTGCCTGCCTGCCTGCCTGTCTGGCTGTCTCTGTCTGCCAGCCTGCCTGCCTGCCTGTCTGTCTGTCTGTCTGCATGCATGCATGTATGTATGTATGGATGTATGGATGTATGATTGTGTATATCTGAATGTACTCATGCATGCATGTATGCATGTCTGCATACATCGATGTGTGTATGCATGTATGTATGCATGCATACATACATGCATGCATTTATGTATGCGCGTGTGCGTGTATGCATGTATTCATGTACGCATGCATGCGTATGTGTATACGTATGTATGGATGGATGGATGTATGGATGTATGTATGGATTTTGCATGAATGTGTGTACGTTTGTGTGTATACATGTGTTTGTGGATGTGTTTATGTGAACATGTACGCAGGCATGCATGTACGCATGCATGCATGCAAGCATACATGCATGGATATACGCACTATTGAATCCATACACGTGTGTATAACTACGCGTCTATGAGTGTAAACAGATGCGTGTATGTATGCATGCATGCATGTGCGTATACCTGTATGTATGTGTATGCGTATGTATGTGTGCATGTGCGTGTGCGTGTATGTATGCAGGTATGCACGTACGTATGTATGCGTGTTTGCGTGTATGTGTGTGTACGTATGTGTGTATGAATATATGTGTAGATATGTGTGAATGTGTGTAAGTATGCGTATACGTGTGAATGTGTGTACACATGTTTGTGTGTATCTGTGTACGTATGTATGTATGCATGCATGCGTGCAGGTATGTATGTATGTACGTATGTATGCATGTATGTGTGTATGCATGCATGCATGTATGCTAGTATGTAGATGTGCACGTATGTACAGACGCATGATTGCATATAGGTATGTATGCATGCATGTATGCATGCATGTATGTATGTTTTGATGGAACTGTTGAGGGCAGGTGTTGGCACGTTATGTCCTTTCTGGGCGTGTGCCTGAAAGAGGTGGGAGATTGCGTTGTGCTTCGGGAGAGGAGAAGGAGGAGAAGGCTCTGCAGAGCATGTCACTCCTACGCCCGCCCGTGAGCCGTGAGGACGACGTCCAGATAGTCGACGGCGATTATGTCGAGCCGAGCATGCTCTACCAGCCCGATGGGGAGAAGGACATCCCCTTCCTTTTCTGCTCCGCATCCTTCCTCCTCCGCCTCTTGATGTACATCCTCTTCATCTGTTTTCCTACACCTCTTCGCCCCCCCCCCCCCCTCGTCTTCGCTCCACCTCTCCCCCCCCACCTCACTCGTCTTCTTCGTCTCCCTCTCGCTTGGAGAAGAGCGCCGAATGCAAGACGGCCGCGGAGAGAGAGAGAGAGAGAGAGGGCGGCGGGTTCTGCGTGTCAGGGAGGAGGAACTGCAGTAGGCAGGCAGGGGGCGCAAGGCGCAGGAAGTCCCCCTCCACCTCCGCCCTCGTCCAAGCTCCTCCACCATCCTCCACCATCATCCTGCTGCGCCTCCCCCTCCTCATCCCCCGCCCCAGGGGGCTCAGCCGAGTGGTGTCGTAAGTGGTGACTCTCAGAGTCTATGCGCCACGCACCTGCTCAGCCGCCAAAGGAGCACGCACTCTACAATGCCCCGCGTCGCATCAACCCCTCCCCCTCCCTCTTCCTCTCGGGATCCGACCAGCACGACGCACCAGTACGACGCATTTTCTCAAGTCCCCCCCGCACGTCTCCGCCGGGAGGGAGCAGTTACAGGACTCCATCCGCGTTCGCCTCGGCCCCGCCCCGCTCCCCTGCGGGTTCCCGCCCCCAGTGATCGCTACCTGGCGGCTCGGGCGAGCGGTGGGCGTAGCATGGCAAGTGGAGGAGGAGGATGAGACAGAGGTGGACGATGAAGATGACGACGGCAGGGATTGTTTTGGATCAGCTTGGAACTATCTGAATGGCCCCGCGGCTCAACGGTAACCCAAAAGCGAGAATGCCGAATCGCAAAAGACACAGTTGTTCGAGTATGTGTCGACATCTGGGCGATATACTTGGGAGGCTCTGTACATGGGCACCCTGAGCATCCTTGATCTATTTTGGGGCCATCTTGGGGCCTCTGGGATCCATGGTGGGGGCAATTGGGAACCAGCTTGGACCCTGTGGCGCCACCTTGGAGGCCATCTTGCTTTACCTGCCACCAGGATCCATACTGGACCCATTCAGACCATCCTGGACGCTCCAACCCTTCGCGAACCTCCCGTCCAGACCCCTGGGCAGGGGGCAGGGGAGATAACCCAGTCCTCGAAGGGGAGGCAGGGATCGGATCGGTGCTCAAAACCGCCCACGCTCTCAATGGATTTGTGGAGTTTCGAGGGGCGGCCATTCAGCATGGTGTCATCTGTTGGCCGACGGATTCATACGCAGTACTCGGTTGTACTGGCCCAGTCGACGGAGTTACCGTGGGAAGATTTGTGGCCTTCTGGCCTTGGCATCGCTCGGCCGTGTGCCTCTGTTCTCGGCGAGGACCACCGAGGAGCCTTGTGGGCCATCTTGCGAGCAAGTACATGCACGGAGCCGAAAAATGCACGGGGAACGGACTTCCGAGCGATGGCGAGTAGTCGTCGTAGCGCCAGGACGAGGGTGGGGGCGAAGATTGGGAGGGGGATAGCAATGATGAGAGTGAGTGGGGGGCCGCTGGTTCGCGTCTGCGCGCCTCTCCAGGAGGCTGACCGGGAGCCCGTGTACAATGCGGAGATAGGGTTGGCCATGGAGAGGCTAAAGGACGGAATGCAAACGGTAGGGACTCAGGGCCCATGGCCCGAGGGGGGAGGTCTGGTCTCCTTCAGCTCCTCCTCCTCCTCCTCCTCCTCCTCCTCCTCCTCCTCCTCCTCTCCATCTCCATTGTCCCTCCTCCTCCTTCTCCTCCTCTTCCTCCTCCTCCTCCTCCTCCTCCTCCTCCTCCTCCTCATCATCATCATCATCATTATTATTATTTTCCTCATCGTTCTCACCGTCTTCTTCCTCGCCTGCCTCCTCGTTCTTCCCTGTCATCTTCCTCGTTCTCCCCCTCCTCCCCCCTTTTCCCCCTCATTCCTCTCTCCCCTCCCCCATCACTGCAGGCCTCCCAAATTGGGTCCGAGCAGATGGGGTCGGGGGATCACGAAGCATCGCCGATGCATCCGCGATTCGGCTCGATGTGGAGCCCGATTTTTCCCCACGCCGGCGTCGCCGATGCGTCGCCGATGCATCGATGATTTATCGACGATGCGGCACGAGCCTCCGACCCCATCTACTCCGATCCCATTTGGGATGCCTCTGCCCACTCTCCCCCCCCCCTCCCCCCTTCCCCCCCTCCGCCCTCCTCCTCCCCCCCCCTCATTCCCCCCCCCCCCCGCACTTTCCCCTCTCTCCTCCCCTTCCCCCTTGCTCCGTCCCCTTCCCCCCCCTGGTTCCTCCTGCCTGGAGAAGCGCAGAGTGAAAGGAGGGCCGTTCGCCAGGGGCCTGCGGGAGCAGGGCCCTGCAGGCGAATCGGTCGGCTCGATGGCGCGTGCATGCATCCGCGCGCGGCAGCAGTCGAGCTCACGAGGGTGGCTCGGAGGAGAGCACACCATGGGAGCCTTGTGGGTTCTCGCAACTCCGCCTGGAGAGTGCATCAGCGTGCGCTGGCGTCGCCCAGCGTCGATTTCGCGTCGACTAGCGCCGATTCGCAAGAGCCAACTAGATGGTACGGGAGGCCCTCACGAGTTGCCACGCGCGAAGCGCGGGCTGGCCCCTGCGGGGCTCGACGCGGGCAAGCGCCACCGCGGCGTCCGCCAGCTGAGCCTGGGCCCTCGAAGCTTCCTCGGCGGGCGACCCGTCGCTGGAAGGACTGCTCATCACGAGCCGACAGCCAGCGACGCCCAGATTTCTCGGGGTGGGATTCCGAAGGGGGGGCTATGAATGTGTGTTGTCGGATGGGGGAGCTTCGGCTGCGCGCCCCAAGGGGCGACTCCCCTTCCGTAGTGCACAAGCGAGCCCGATCGATGCGCGATGAGCGGGCAGCAGGCGGACCGACCTGGGGGAGAGCCCTCCCTCCAGCGCGGAGTTGGAGCTTCAGCTCCGGGCCCGTTATGGCGGAAGGCTCTCTGGCGTTCTTCAGGCAGCATTGATCTTGAGATTTGCCCGCGCTGGTTGGGAGGGGGAGGAGGAGGCGGAGGAGGAGGAGGAGGCGGAGGAGGAGGGCGATGAGGAGGGCGATGAGGAGGAGGAGGAGGAGGAGGAGGAGGAGGAGGAGGAGGAGGAGGAGGAGGCATGGCAGCAGTGCCCGACGGTCGCGTAGTTTGACACGCGGATGCCTGACGCAGCCTTTCCATCGTATCGTCGTCGCTTAACTGGTTTCTCGAAGCGCGCTCGATGCCGTGAGGTTCCTTTGGCTCCGCGTGCTCGCGAACAGACGTCTGGAGCCGTAGCCAGCACACAAACTTGTCCCGACGTGTCTTGGGTCTGCACTGGTCCTCCTCCTCCTCCTCCTCCTCCTCCTCCTCCTCCTCCTCCTCCTGCTGCAGGTCTCCTTCGCCCCCCCCCCCCCCGCCCTCTACGCGTCCGCCTCCCAGGCAGCCGCTGGCTCCAAGGCCAGGTGGCACCCGCTGGCTCGCCCCCCCCCCGTGGTCAGCGCAGCGCATTCGGAGGCGAGCCCCCCGGCGCAAGGGAAGGGGCAGAGGGGGGGAGGGAGGGTCAGAGGCGACGATAGGGGCGAACAGCTCAGGGGAGAGCAATATACGTATTCAGGTGCGCCGATGATCTATGTCTTCGAAAAGGCTCCCGGGCGAATGCGTGTAATGCCCGCCCCTGGGCTATTCGCCCCCCTATCGTCGCCGCCGAGAGGGAGGGAGGGGGTGGAGCAAGGGAGGGCTTCGGTGGCAAGTCATGGGAGCCTCGTATGTCCTCGGAATTTCATCTTTGGAGCGCTCCAGCGTGCGCTAGCGTTTGGTAGCCAATGAGAGAGAGAGCGCTGATCCGATTTAGCGTCGATTCGATTCGATTTGGCTCCGATAAGCGTCGACATAGCGTCTATAGCGTCGATTTGGGATGCCCCCCATGGGTTGTCACTGTAGAGGACGGAGGACGAGCAGGAGGAGGAAGTTTGGGACGTTTGGGCCCAGCACCGCGTGCAGAGGAGAAGAGGGAAACGGAGAAGCGAACAAGTGCCGAGTCCAGGTGCCTTAAGCCCAAGCTTGAAAGCACCCCCGATGCTTCGCCCCCTCCAGACGGAGGGTGGAGAGGGGGAGGCAGGGCTCATTTCGATTCCTCCGATTCGATTTGGGATTCCGGTTTGGGTTCCGACTTCCGACTTCTCATTAGAGGCCAACGAGCCTGCCGATTTCCGCCGATTCGACTTTTTCCGACTCGGTTGCCGATTTCCGCCGATCCGATCCATGTCGGTCGCCGATTCGACTTGTCGATTCGATTCTGAGCTCTCCTGGGGAATGCCTCGTCACCATGGTGCGATTCTTGCGCAACGGCACGGGTTCCCTGAGAGCCTGTTATGGCCGGGCCTTGCTTGGCTAGAGCTTCGATCGGGGGTCCTCTTGGGGCCTTCTTGGGGGAGGGAGGAAGGGGTATGAGCAAGCGAGGGAGGAGGAAGAGCAGGAGGAGGACTTTTTCGATGTTCTGACCCAGCACCGTATGCAGAGGAGAAGGGGGAAACGAGAAGCAGCAACCAAGTACTGAGTCCAGGTGCTTTCAGCCCAAGCTGGGAGGCACCCCCGATGCTTCGCCCCCTCCAGACGGAGGGCGGAGAGGGGAAGGCCCTCGTCACTATCTATGGTGCGATTCTTGCGCACAGGCATAGGTTCCCTGAGGGCCTTTTAGGGCCGGGTCTTGTTAAGCTAGAGCTTCAATTGGAGGTCCTCTTGATAGGTGCCCTCTTGGGCCTTTTCGGGGGGCCTCCTGGGCCGTCTTAATGCAATCTTGGGTCGTCCTGGGACCATCGGGTCGTCTGGAGCCTGTCTTCGGTAGTCTTAGGGCTACCCTGGACCGTCTGGAGGCTGTTTTGAGCCGTGCAGGGACCCCCGTGAACTCTCGAGGGGCCCTCGATGCCAAAATCACTGATTCCCATTCGGTTTCCGCAAAATATGCTTTTGAGGCCCAGAAGAGCTCCGTCATCTTCGGGCGGGGGTGGGTCGGAGGATGTGATGAAACGCTGTTTGGGTTACGGGGGTAGATAATCATATATACATGTGATATTTACTAATTGGTGCATTTTGGCAGGTGCGGTATGTGGTATGTGGCATCCTGGCGTTCGCCAATACAACGCGCGCTTGTTAGATCAACGCGTGTCCACTTCATGGTTCTATGATAGGATGACGGGTGTGGGAGGGCCAATGCCAGTTGGCCAGAGATAGTCTAGGCATTCATGTAGGATGAACGATCGTGTAGAACAAGATCAATACAACAATATGGAAAGGAATGTGCGTGAGCCTTCGGTCCATCCTGTCACCGTGCCTGGGTCTTGGACACAGTGGACGCTTTCGCCAGCAATCGGCTCAGCTCTCCTTACTCGGAACATAGATGCACCTCTTTGTCATGCCTCTCTCTTTTTTGTTGATTCTCTCTCTCTCTCATATGCATATATAAATCTTTGTTTAATCTCCCGTTTCGATCCCCTCCTCTCCTCTTCCCTTCCCACCTGGCCTCTCCCTGACTCCCTTTCTCCCCTCTCCCTGCCGTCCCTCGACTCACATCCCCCCCCCCGCCCATCCAATCCACGCGCATGAGCGTCGTTCCCATCCATCGCTTCCTCTCTCCCCTCCGCGTTTCCTCCTCCCCTTCCTCATCCACATTCTCCTCCTCCCCCGCCTCATTCTCACCCTTCACTTTCTCCCCCTACCTCATGGCCAGGTCTGCCCGGCTGCAGAGCCGGGGGCAGCGCGGAGTCACGAGTGCGGGGCGGGGGGGGGGACCGGGGGGCGCTGGCCACCCAGCTCGCGCGGGGAGCCGCACGTGGATCGGCGGGGGCCGTGCCCAGCCTGCGCCCGAGGTCCTCTGATGACGATGGTGGCGACGACGACGATAATGAGCCGGTCAGGTGCGATTCGGGTTTACCCAAAAGGGGGTCCAGCCACGAGGGGGTGGTGCAATAGATTAGGTGTAATAGATTTGTGGAGTTGCAGTACATTTGGGGCGTGCAGTATATTCCGGGGCTCAAATGTATTGCTGGATTTTCGCGTGCAATGCATTACTTGCAATACAATGCAATACAATCCTCCGGCGCAACACGTTTGCAACAGAATTGCCCCAAATCTATTGCACCACCCCTTTTCAGCTGGACCCCCTTTTTGGGTCGACCAAAACATACCAAAACGATGACGGCTGACGGAGCCTCTTCGGCGCATGCCCGAGGCTAGTTTAAGCCATATTTCGTCATGTTGAGCCACCTTGGACGTCCTCCTGAGCTGTGCGAGGCCATCTTGGAACCAGCTTGGGGCACACTCTACCCTCTAACCCCCTCACGGCAACCCCCGTCCAGTCCCAGGGGAGGGGGGAGGGGGAGGGGTCAAGACGCCTTCTCCGCACGCAAGCCGTCTAGCTCACTCCCACCCGCCCTCCCACCACATAAGTGGCATCTGAGTCTCGGCATAGCCAGGGGTCGCCGCTGGATGGACAGTCACTGGGAACTAAAGTGGACGCCAGGTGCGCGACGCTTGCCGCGGGCTCCACATGCGGTTGATGTGCCGTCCTTGTAAAAAAAGTGATGCCCCCCCGTCCGCATGGTCCAGATGCTGATGTGGGGGGCGTCAGCATTGTTCTGGGCCTGCGCACAGGAAGCATCATCATGCGGTCACCACCGCCGTCCCTGTCAAAAACCAATGCAAAAATATCGCAGGTGGCCAGCACAATACCCACGACGTTGTCGCAACGTGCACTTTGCATTGTTTTTGACACGGATGGTGGTCCTGCACAAAGCGGCTTCACTAAGGGTACCCCGTCATCCCTGTCAAAAAAACAATACAACGTGCTCACAGGGCGCCAGCGCACTGTGCAGATTTTGCTGCAATGTGCACTTCGTATTGTTTTTTGACAGGGATTGTGGAGGGTGTTGGCAGGGTGGGCTCCGCAATGTGCATTTTGCATGGGTTTTTGAAAGAGATGGTGGGGGGGGGGCTGCATGGTTCCGAGTTGGCTGCTGGCCAGGTGGGGGAGGCGGTGTTCATTAATGGGGAACAGTGATCACGCTACGGTTGACGGACAAAATCCTGCACCTTTTTCCCGATGTTTGTTTTCCCCCCTTGCGCCCCCAGTTTAATATTGGCGGGCTGTGGCGCGATTTGTCGATATGCCGACTGGCCTAAATCCTGCACCATGCGGGCGCAGCGGGGCGCGTGGAAGTTTGCGCCTTCGCCCCAGTTGCGCGGGCGGTGCAGGATTTTGTCCATCAACCGTACTTCTATTTCCCATCATAGGCGCTTGCACCTTTGGCCAGCATGGTTCGTCAGTCGGATCGAAAGTGAGGGGGGGATCTGAAGCAAGGGGGAGCGCCCTGCAGGCGTCCCTATGGATCCGGACGGCGCCGACCCGTACGACGAGTGGGGCCGCTTTCACTGCAATTTCCCTGGGTGCATGAGGCGGACCGAGGCTGTGGCTGCGCGCGCCGCTTCTTCTACGCTTGCCTGCCTCCTGTTCGCTCTCGCCTCGCCCCCTCCTCTCTCTCCTTTCTGTCTTGCGCGTGTCACTGCGCATCGACCCCCTCTGTCCGATCGCCAGTCATTCTCTCATTGGGGGTGACTCTATGCTCTGTTAAACTTGGCTGTGCTGTAGCGACCTGGTCCTGCACCCAGTATTGCTATCTTGCGTGCGTTGTTCGTCTGCGTTTGGTTTGGCAGCGTTTCTCAGTTAAGGCACCGCAGCGTGGCCAGTTGAATACACCTTCGTAAAATGACCCGGAGAAGGAAACATGCTCCGCTGCGGCGCCATGCATGTTTCGTTGTTTGTCGCACCGTGGATCCTCTTGAACCACATCTAACAGAGAGGATACGCACACAGAGACAGAGGCTGAAGAGACAGATAGAGACAGGGAAAGAGACGGAGGGGGACGACAACGAAGAGGACAGAAAAAACAATTAGGACAACTAGGAGGAGGAGAAGAGAAGAGAAGAGAAGAAGAGAGAAGAGAGGAGAAGAGAATAATAGAGAAGAGAAGATAATATGTCATAAGAGAAGATGATTGAAGAAAGGGAATCCTGATGACAGTACCAAGCGGAAGAAGAGAAGAAACAGAGGGAGGAGGAGGAAGAGGAGGAGGAACGAAAAGACAAGGAATGGTGGCAGAGAGGGAGGACGATGAGTAGGAAGAGGATGTGGAAAGGAAGGGACGGATGGCGAAGAGGGGGAAGATACACCCCCAGGCCGAAAGTGGATGCTTCTTGGAGTATAAACATGCAAACATCAATATACCCAATATGATCCTTTATTGTGTGTGCGAAAGTCTCATGGATCCTATTTCTGCGCTTGGCGGATCCAATTTCAACTGTAGGAAAAAAGCTGCGGATCTATTTAGTTTTGGAACATGGGATCCATGGGGCACTGCACGTGACACATAACCTATGGTTATGCGGGGATGGGGTTTCCCAACCATCACCATCATCATCATCATCATCATCATCATCATCATCATCATCATCATCATCATCATCAGCAGCATCACCATCAACAGCAACAACAGCAGCATCAGCATCAGCACCATCATCATCACCACCACCATCATCATCACCATCTCTGTCGTCAGCATCAGCAAGATCAGCATCGTCGTCATCATCATGAACACAATCACCATCATCATTATTAGTAGTATCATCTTCTCTGCCATCCACATCAACAACCATCATCGTCATCTCTGCCACCCTCATCAGCATCATCATCCGTATCAGCATCATCAGCAGCAGCATCACCATCATCACCACCATCATCTCTGTCATCACCATCTCCATTATCATCACTATCACTACCATCATCATCATCATCATCATCATCATCATCATCATCATCATCATCATCATCATCATCATCATCACCGCCAGCTCGAGCGTCATTGCGGGCTCTCGCCCACTCCCACAACACCATCGTAACATTGGAAGCAAAGGAAAATTCGATTGTCATTGCGGGCCCCGCCCACTCCCATAACTCACCATTCCCTCCCCTCCCCTCCTCTTGCTCCCCTCCCCTCCTCTTGCTGCTGCTGGTGCGGTTTCCCTCCCCCCTCCCTCCCCCCCCGTCGTCCCTCCCCCTTTCCTTCTCCTCCCTTCCCCTCCTCTTGCTGCTGTTGTTGCGGTTTCCTTCCTCCCTCCCTCCCTCCCCCCCGTCGTCGTCGTTGTCGGCGTCGTCGGCGTCGTCGGGCGCGGTCCCTGCCTTCCTCGGGGTTGTGGCCCCCCTGGGGGGGGGCGTCTGAGGCAGTGGCCTCCGTGCCAACTCGGGGCGGCCTGGCCGGCAGGGCGGTGGAGGCCGTGGGGGGCCCAGGGCGCTCGCCAGGAGTGCGCTTTCACTCTTCTCCCCTCCTGCCCCTCCCTCTGCCTTTCCCTCTCCCGAATTCAATGCACGACCCCGGAGCGGGTCGTTGCGCTATCGGGCCATTGGCAGTGCCGGCACATGCGTGCCCGCCTCCAAGCGCCCGTCGGCCTCCACCGGCCCTGGGGACGGCTACCGCTGCTATACTTAGTACTGCTGGTTTCCTCGGCTCTACGTGCTCGCTTGTCCTTTAGGCTCGTGGGGGTTTCTGTGCGAGTACCCCCTCCGACAATGCTCGGGGGTGCGGTCTACGCACGCACGAGATTTTCTTTCTCTGCGGACGTTCGTCCGGCTGTCGCTCCCCCCCTCTCGTCCCCCGTCCTCCTGCTGCTGCTCCTTCTTCTCCTCCTCCTCCTTTTGTCCTCTAGTTTTAGTCGGGGTATTTAGTTTACGTGGTCTTTCACGGAGCTCGGACTCCCACGGGCTGCCGTTCTCGCCAGCCAAGCGGAGGCGGGTTCACAGGACTTTGCGCAGGAAAAATAGGTATTGTGCGTGGGCGTTTCTTCCTGCTGGCGTTCCTGCACTTTTTTCGTGCCCTGTATAGTGCCATTTTGGCCGAGACGCTGTCTGTACAGCCTGGTCGATGCACATTTAGTTGTGCGCAGGTGGGCCCGTTGACTGTGCGTGGCGCTGCCGGTGTGGGGGAATTGTTGAGTGGAAAAAAAAACTCCCACAACTCACCATTACATGTGGTAGCTCGAGCGTCACAGCGGGCGCACATCCACACGTCCCCCATAGCCATGGTAAGATCGGCTGTCACCGCGGGCACCCGCGTGGCCTATCGAGCTCAAGAGTAAAATTTCTCGACTTGGGGAAGAGGGACTTCAAGCTTCGTATCTCCCACTAAATCATTGCCGTTTGTCGCCTGTCTCTGACCTTTGCCGCCCAGCTCGGGCCTTCGGGGGCGCAGGCCGTTGGGTGACGTGGTAGCGCGACAGCGCTGCTGGCGTGGTCGACCCTAGCCCTTCCTATCGGCAGCGCCTCCTAGAGCTCCGATACTGGCGCATTTCTTCTGGAAGTCGCGGCCACAGCCTGCGATTCCGCGGACTTCATGACACCACGCACCCGCTGTGCTAGGGCAGCTTCCCTGGTACCTCTCGTTTCACCTGCGCGTCCTTCGGATCAAAGGTGCGCAGGCGGCGACGCAGCCACGACCAGCACATTTCGACCAGGTTAAAATCCGGTGACCGAGCGGGTACGCACATCATGCGGATGCCTTTGGCGCCATGCGCGTCTTGGCGTACTTTCGAGGCCAAAATCTTGAGATTGTTTGTCTTACCCTCTGGGATCCTCTGGGCCATAACGCGCGTTATGCCCCCCCTACCAATCCCAGAACGTAAGGCTCCTCCCCGCCCAGTGCGTTCCCAGCACTGCCGCAGAGCGCTCGGCACCACGGTCTGTCAAAGTGGGAGGCGCGTGCGTCACGTGATGCCCCCCCCCCCGCCCCCCTCACCCCCCAATAATGCTCGTTATCGCCGCGTATTAAAACTTGCCCCCGTTCTCACTGTCGCAGAGGATCCTGGAAGGGCCCCGCTGCCGACCAACACTGATAGCAAAGAGCGTTTTGAAGAAGCGTTCGGGGACGTCCTGCGCCATGGCTTCCTTCTTGATATTCTTCTACCCGTCTGCGCTGATGCCGCCCCGCATCGGGAGCGCGCGAGACAGCGGCACTTGTTCGTTGTAATTGCCGCTCCCGGCTGTCTCCGTGAGGGCCGGGTCCTCCGGCCTCCGCAGCAACAGCTCCTTGCCCTGACGCAGGTAGGCCGTCCGCTCCTTGGGCTCACGCGTCGGCAGCATCAAGACCACGCCGTCCAAGGACATGTGGATCCACGCTCTAAACTGCTCTGGGGGCGGGGTCAGTGATGCTCCGGGCGAAGAACCGTCGACCGTCGCTCCACGCGCTCGTCGGCGTTGCGCGCCTGTCGCTTCATGCAGGGGAGCCACTCCCCCCCGCGGGCGGAGCAACCCGCTGCGAAGCCGCTCGGCGCGTTCGGAACGCGCCTCCGTCTCGGCCGAGCAGCGGGGCGGATCGCCTCGGGGCGCAGCCCAGCTCTCCGCCCCCCGAGCGACGTGCAGCGCTCCTCCGCGCCAGCTGCCTCGCGGGGATGCCGCCCATCCCGCCCTCCTGCCGCAGCTCTGGTAGCGCGGAGCCGGGCGCCGGCGGGCCGACATCAGCGCCCAGCAGGAATGGCGCACGTCCGAACAGTCCGGTCCCCGCCCGACACGTTCCGCACCTTGGCGGCTATGTTTGGGAACGCCATGCCATGGGCGTCGCGCGCAGTCGTCCCGCATGGTAAGGATGGGCAACCTCCTCAAGGGTACTTTTACATCCTTGCCTCCTCGGTCCATCCTTGGCCACTTTCCTTGGCCGCTCCGCGCCCGAAAAGCTTCGAAACGGGTCGACTGCAGCGTGGCCACGCGGCCCACGGCCCGCGCGCCCAAGCTTTTCGGGCGCCTGGTTTTTTTTCATCAACACGGTTGCTTCCGGGGGCTGGGGGCGGGACCTCCCAGGCAGCAGCCTGAGCCGTCGCGGCCGCGCCATGTCCTGGCCCCCTCTGTCAGCAGCTCGCGCGTCGCAGCGGACCCCGCGAACTTCCAGGATTCCACCCATGACGCGCGACAGCTCGAGCGTCGCAGGGGCCCACGTGCATTCAGTTCCTTACATAGCAAGGCAAAGTGTGCACGGATGGCCATGCATGAGTAGCTGCGCAAGAGTGACTCGAAGCGTCGCTGCGCGGTTGGGAGCGGCGCTGGGCAAGAGCCAAGACACATTGAGTATGCCCTCGTCAGCCCACGGCAGTGTGTGATCACGGCTGGCTGGCAGCACGAATAACACAGGTATGATTGTGAATGGCGCGCAGGTGGCCGACCGCTTTGAAGACGGCATGCGACTGAGAGGGGGCGATTCACGATGCACGCGAACTCACGACTGCGAGCAGCCCCAGCAAGAAGCAAGCGGGCCAAGTGCGGGGCAGGCGGGCGCACCCCTCGCACACAGGCCGCCGAGGCCCAGGTGTCCCTGCTGGCAGGCGCGCCTGGCCCTGCGCTGGGGGCCTGGCCAAGGGCGCGGGCCC